TTATGGGGTCCTGGCAGGATATGTGAGATTTCCTGTTGTTTATTACCCAAATCCCCATCTACAGAATACTGGTCAGGCAAGACAAGATCTCATTCTTAAAGAGAATTGGCCCGAGACAGGTATTGGAACAGAATAGAAGAACAAGATAATGTTCTCATTTCTAAACTATATTGTGAAGGAGGGACTAGATTATGGGTAAACTTCAGATGTCAAAATATTAAAATATGAGGTTGGGGGACAGCAATATAAAATGGAGTAACAATAGCCTCTTCAACAAATAGTGCTGGGAGAACTGGACAGCTATGTGCAAAAAAATGAAACTCGAGCACCAACTTACACCATACACAAAAAGAAATTCAAGGTAGATAAAAGATTCAAATATAAACCATGACACTATTAAAGTCCTACAGGAGAACATAGGCATGAAAATCTCAGATATTTCACGCAGCAATATTTTTACTGATAGATATGTCCCCTAGAGCAAGGGACATAAAGGAAAGAATAAACAAATGAGATCTCATCAAAATAAAAAACTTCTGCACAGCTAAAGAAAACAGTATTAAAATAAAAAGAGAACCAACCATATGGGAAGACATATTTGCCAATGATAGCTCAGACAAGGGTTTAATCTCCAAAACATATAAAGAACTTACATGACTCCACTCTAAGAAGACAAGCAACCCAATTAAAAAATGGGCAAAGGACTTGAACAGACACTTCTCCAAGAAGGACATACAGAGGATCCAAAGACACATGAAAAGATGCTCAGTATCGCTAGCTATCAGAGAGATGCAAATTAAAACCATAATGAGATACCACTTCACACCAGTCAGAATGGCTATCATGAACAAAGCAACAAACAAGTGTTGGAGAGGTTGTGGAGAAAAAGGGGACCCTAGTGCACTGTTGGTAGGACTGCAGACTGGTACAACCACTATGGAAAATAGTATGGAATTTTCTCAGAAAACTGAAAATGGATCTGCCTTTTGACCCAGCAATTCCACTGCTAGGATTATATTCTAAAAACCCTGAAACACCAATCCAAAAGAACCTATGCACCCCAATGTTCATAGCAGCATAATTTACAATAGCCAAGTGGTGGAAGCAACTTGGTGCCCATCAGTAAACGAATGGATCAAAAAACTATGATACATTTACACAATGGAATTCTATGCAGCAGAAAGAAAGAAGGAGCTCCTACCCTTTGCAACAGCATGGATGAAACTGGAAAGCATTATGCTAAGCAAAATAAGCCAAACACTGAAAGACAAATACTATATGATCTCACCTTTAACAGGAACCTAAACCACCAAACAAACAAACAGCAAAATATAACCAAAGGCACTGAAATAGAGAACAGGCTGAAAGTGACCAGAGGGGATAGGGGAGGAAATTTTAGGGGGAAAGGGGAAGGGTTTGCAGGAACAAGTATAAAGGGCACATGGACAAAAACTAGAGGGGAGTGGAAATGGGAGGGAGGTGGGGAGGGCTGGGGGATGTGGGCTGGGATGGGAGTAAAAGACAGAAAACTGTATCTGAACAACAATTAAAATTTTAAAAAAGTAAAAAAAGATATGATGAGGTTGGAAAAGGAGCAAGATGAGTTGATGGTGATTCGTCTTAATATGAATTAGAGCTCCTTATAGTGCCTCAGACTGAGATCAGCCTTGAGGATCATTCAGTTTGTAGGAATGGCGGTCACAGCTTTTGGCTCTTATTTATTAATTTATTTCAGGTAGTTACTCCACTAAGCATATTCCAATATAAATGACTGATGAACTACTAAAAATGACATGAATAACTTTTAGGGTTGTTATCTTCTCTGGGCATGTATAAACTATTTTGAATGTGTTTTACTTGTATAGAAACCTGAAATGAAAAGCCCAACTTTGGGTAGTTCTGTGGAAGGCCTGTGTGTAAGGAATCAAAATTTTTCTTCCCTTTTAATTTTATCATGGGGCTAAGATATGCTTAGAATATGCATAGTCTAATGGGATATGTTATCCTAGAAGTTATGTATCTGTATATGTGTATATCTCTATAAGGTATGTACAGAGTGGTCTACATTTACTTCCCTAAACAAGATGAAGTAAAAGGTATTGTGCTAACTTATAGTAGGGCCTAATCATTCGCAAAGAATCTGGGTGTAGGTTGTCAGCTTCATGTCTCTTTTAGATATACAAGCTGGTCTTTGAAGTAATGCACATTTCTAAGACATATGTTGAAGCTATTACTGTCATTTTTGTCAGGTAGCAATAGTTCTGATCCATTGGATCATAACATTTGCTATAATTCTATTGTTCAGCTTTGGAATAAGTTTGAGTGCTGTGCAAAATATTAAAATGTACCTTTTCTTCCTTAGGGCAACCTATAGTCTACAGCCAGGGACATGGCATAATATGTTAACTCTGATCACAGTATTGAAAGTGCTGGCAAAATATATACTGAAAAAGAAATACATAGGAACCTGTACAGGTTTCATGCACCTGGTAGCACACAAGTACACACACACACCAGAAGATCTCAATAACACACACAAAAATATAAGTTAATTTAAAAAATGTTCAAGAGACCCCAACAAACATTTCTCCAAAGAAGATATACAAATGACTATAAACATATGAAAAGGTATTGAACATCATTTGTCATTAGCAAATGACTGATCAAATGTAAATCAAAACCATTCATAGCTATAGATATGCTATGCTATAACCACTAAGATAGCTATAATAAAAAAGTAGCAAATAAGTGTCCACAAAAATGTTGAAAAATTGAAATCCTCATACATTTCTAGCAGGAATGTAAACTAGTATAGTTCTATGCAAATTTGTTTGGCAGTTCCTCAAAATGTTAAATATTGAGTTTCCATATGACACAGCAGTTGTCTTAGGTATATACCTAAGAGAACTAAAACTTTTTTGTCTGGAAATATACATACTTGAATGTTCATAGCAGTACTGTTCATAAAAGTGAAAATATGGAAACAACTCACTCATACCAACAGGTGAATAGGTAAATGAGAAGTATATCCAGAAAATGAAATTCTTTTAGCTGTGAAAAAGGGATGAAATAGTAAAACATGCTACAACATACATAAACAGCAATCTCTTGCTTTTCAAAAGTTCTCTTTTGACATTTTGCTTTTACAAAAGACCTACACTAGTACCTGCTTTCTCTAACCTCAAGAACATCCAAAGAGAATTTTTGCTTTTAATAAATGGTAATTGCTTTTTCAGTATTCAGCCATTTTGGTTTTTGAAAAGTGCCATAGGGACACTCTACTTTCATATGGTGTGGGGAAAGCAGAGCCTTGAAGACATTGGACTAAGTGAAAGAAGACAGATCACAAAGACAATGCACTGTGTGATGTTGTTCGTGTGACATGTCAAGAATATGGGTTTTATTGTGGGGTGATAGCTGCAAAGCCAGGCAAACATACCAAAAATGTTGAATTGTATACTTTAAAATAGTTAAAGTGCAAATTTGTGTTATATGAATTTTATTGCAATAAAAAACACAGTCACACAAATAGAAAACCCCGTGGAATTTACATTATAAAGGAACAAAATTGTACATTCCAAATGAATGTTCATATCACCAAATATAGGTAGGCATGATGTCCTCCAAGGCATCTAAGAGTGGATTTTCTAATATGTTGTTTCAAAACTTCATTTGTAAATTAGTTTTTGGGGACTGGGAAATATATTATGGTGGTTCAAATATCACGGAATCTTGGGGAAAGGCCAGAAGGCTTACATTCAAATTCTAGGAAACAATTTCTATGCCCCGTTCCCTAATGGAAAACTAAGAATCTCCTGCTTATTTTTTATATTTTAATTAAAAGCTTTTTTTAAAATCAATGTTATTTAACTATGACTGGGTTAGATGACTTGTTTGTTAACTATTGCTTTCTTCTACCTTAAATGTATTACAATTCTGATATTGCTTGGTCAAAAAAATATATTTTGATAGTTATGAGAGAGTATTGTTTTAGTAGATTAAATAAATGTAATTATAGTATATTTATATATAATTTTTAAAGTTTAATATTTATTCTTTTGTGATATTATTTCCCAACATTCTTTTGTCACCATTTTAAAGTCCTAAAACTTATTTTAAAATATTGGAAAAGTAATTTAAAGTACTTTTGATAACATGTCTAAATTTGTTTCTTAACTGAATTAAAACAAGCTTTAGTGTCAAACTTTATGCACATTCAGAAAATTCTCTCTGAAATACCTACAAAATACTAAAATCTATAGCATGCCTCTGAATGGATTTACCACTAAGGTCTAGATAAACATTTTATTTTTCTTGTTTATTCAGCAGGGTTTTTATTTAGTTAATGTTGTAATATGTGCAAACTGCACAGTATAAATGATGAAAGTTTAATGAATACCTGTGTTTTCTTTTTCTTTTAAAACTAAACTTATTTCATCCCTGACTGGTGTGGCTCACTGGGTTGAATGTCATCCCATAAACCAGGAGTTCACCAGTTCAATTCCTGGTCAGGGCATGTGCCTGGGTTATGGGCCAGGTCCCAGGGTGGGGGCCAATGAGGGGCAACAGATCGATGTTTCTCTTGCACATTGTTGTTTTTCCCCCTGTCTTTTTCCTTTCCTTCCCCTCTATCTAAAGTTTTTTTTAAAGGACTAAACTTATTTCATTCACTTAGATATTATGTTATCAAAATAAAAGAAAAACATTCTACCTATTCATTTATTTGCTCGTCAATTCATGTAATATTCAATAGATAATCAGTGACTCCACTCTTGGGTAATACACTTGGGCAAAACATATTTTTTTCTGTTTTTCCTTTATATGATTGCCTTTTCCAATTAAGTAGCCATTCAATAGCGATTAAGAACACTTTATATGTTCACTTTAAAATTAATATCTGTTGGTGATAATTAATATTTTAGGGGGGTCTTTCTTTCACAACTACATTTCATAATCACAGCAGGCATGTGTGACATTTGTGTGTTTTCTGTTTCCTATAGATTCTACAAAGAAATTAAAGGATGTTCTTGAAGAATTCCATGGTAATGGTGTGCTTGCAAAGTATAATCCAGAAGGGGTAAAACTTCTTTTTTCCTTTTTAAATTTGAGATAACTACTTGGAGGAGGGATATCTTAGTGAATAGTTCTTAAAAATATATATACTGTGTACCATATACCATAATGTAAACAAAATGAAGTTTATAATAAGATGCTATACTGGGAGTTATATTAAATGTTGTAGTTCACTATCTTTCTAATCCAAAATTATTTTGCTAATGAAAATAATATTTTTATGGTCTGTGCATGAAAGAGTATAGATCATCTAAAATACAGTTTTTGATCCTTTTCCTGGAATCAGAAAACAGAATTAGATAGAAGGGGACAGAAAATGTGCCTGACTCTAACTCTATGACCTAGAAATTTAAACCTCAAATGAACATTGATGTAGGACAAGGGAGTTACTCTTTTCAGGGAATTACTCTTTTGACTCGAGAAAGATTTTGTGATGGATATAACTGATCTATTAATTTAAAGAGCCAACTTGGGCAAAAAGAGTGGAATTTTTTGCTCCTATCTTGTTTTTACCTATTCTCAGTTTCTGACATTCTTTCCTTATTATAACTTCATGTCCTGTCTATTGCTTTTGAATGCCATGCTTGAATGGATGCCTTTCCCTTCCTAATTATTTGTTAAATAGCCTTCCATTTACTCTTAGCTGAGAGATGTTAAATGTTTGATATCACTTCTGAGTTCTTTTGCAGCCTCACCAAGTCACAGTTGGGTTTATGGGATTTAAAACAAACTGAGCTTTGCAAAAAACTATTTTTGCCTGGATGTATTATCTAGCCATCTAGATTTTATTTTGTTGATTAAAATATGACTTCTTATTATTGTCATTGTGCTTTTGAATGTTTAGAAGAGCAGGGCTATTGGTTGTCCTTCAATTTTGTACTTCTCTGGGATTTATAGAACTTATATTTTAATCAAAACCCAATCTCTAAATTCCAACCATAAAAATTTCATATTGTTTTATAATTTTCTTTCAGTATTTCTTTAAAAAACTAGCTCTTTTGCACACCATATTTTCTTCTGTCTACATTCTGATACATTACAGTACTTTTTTAAACTGTCTAATCTAAGATTTCTTTTTTAAAGCAGTTGATATTTAGTGCCTACAAATTATGGGGAAGTTCGGTAATTTTAAGCCATTCCCATTTTACTATTTTGGAGAAAGAAGGACACATCTCACATGCATTTCCTCACATTGTTTCTTCCTAGATTATCTATAGAGTAAGAGAAAAAATGCTGGCAGATAAATTTGTTGAACTGAAAAATCTAAAAGACAAAAAAGGGGAGTGGGAAAGTTAAAGATGCCAAATTTACTGAATTAATATCAGACCCTAAAATTTCATGAATAACCAACCATATTTGAAAATATGCATATTATCTAATATATATTCAGAGGTAAAATTAGTTTTTTTTCTCCCTAAAGATAGCTGCTGGTCATAAATTCAGTTGAAATGCGATGTTATTTGCATAGTAGCCTTTTTACTACAGTGATTTCTTATTTAAAGGACTCAAAAGACTTAGCCTTACTGATATTATATATTTAATGAGAATTATTAGTCACTGTATGCTGAATTTATTAAATTGCTAGATTAATTATTAGACCCACATATGATGTCAGCCTTTTCAATAATGTAACACCTCTTCATAAATGCATGGATCTGCTCTTGAAGTGCATTATTAAAATAATGAACAGTTGAAAAATAAGAAAGTTAGATCTCATTATAATCCAAAAATAATTCTAATTTAAGAGTGAAACCACTTTCCAATGTTAACACTAGTATGTATTTTTCCCTTCGGGAGAATAATTTAAAATTTATATGACTTTTAAAACACTAATATGTATTTTGCAAGGAAATAATTAGGAATATTCAATGTTGAAGAGGAAATCTTTAAGACCTAAGGTTCTCTTTTGTACTTGACTCCATCTAGTTTATAAAATATTACACTAATCATATGAAAGAATTCAGAAAGAATTTGTGAAGAATGCATGCTGTCAATTCACATATAAAGTTCTCTCTCTCCATTGACTGGTCAAGTTGAGCTCAAAGTTCTTGGGCATAGACAATACTTAATGCTCAATTATATAAGAAAAGTTAAGAAAGATTAAAGTTAATCTAGTTTGGCTTTAGAATAAATAACTAGTCCTTTATTTTCTAAAATTAACATGACTTTTATCATCTACATAAAATTAGTTTATAAGGAGAAAACTGTCTAAACATCTCTAAAATATTTTTCCATACAAAGTAAAACTGTTTATATGTTAGATTTATTACTTTTATTTTCATTCACTTGAATTACTTTATTATAAAATAATTATATGTAAAAACTTAATCCAATGACCTATTTATAACTATTTTAATAGAGAAAAATATTAAATATACAATATATGGGTAATTTACCTATTTTAATTACTATCTTTTAAAGATTGATAATCATTCTTTGAAGTAATAAGTGAAATAATAATTAAATAGAAAATGTAAACAATTGCTTTGAAGACTAAGTGCAGAAAGTATTAAAAGATCTTGATTCCCAAATACAATTATAGAGTTTTAAAGAAACTCATTGTAAGAAAAGGGAAATGACTTTCCCACAGTTAACTAGCTAAGTTTATGACAATAACCATAATTAAAACCTAATTACCTGAAATGATAATTTAAGACTGTTGCCCTTCCCTCTTCATCGATTAACCTATAGAAGGAAAGGGAGGGCCTTGAGAGATGAGAAGGATAAGGGGACATGGAAGGTGTCTCACGTAAGCAATATGATTCAGTGTATGTGAAATAGGAGTACACTGAATGGCCATTTGGTATGTGATGAGTGGCATTTTCCAGTACACATAATTATTACTAAGTCAGGACTATTAGTCTTCACCTAATCTTATGTGAATAATATAATGTTAAGGCTATATTTGCAGCTACTTAGTAGTAGCCATTCAATCTTAGTGAAAATGTTCACAGTAAAACAGAGTCAGGACATAAATTAATTTATGAGGGCAGTAGAATTTGATGAAGAGAAGGAACAAATTTGGCATTGAATGTGTCTATCATTATCTATCTATCTATCATTGCCCTCAATTTTAAATTTAATTCTAAATGGTTTGATTGATATCTAAAGTGATGGGAAGAAATGAAGTAGTATCATATGAATGAAAAGACATTTACCTTTAAAGGCACGGAGAGACGTTAGGGATGTTATTGCAATATAAGGAAACATTAAGAGTGGGAAATGAGCAATCACTAATGTATCTTTACATGCACTGTTATATTTCATAATCTTCTCTAGAAAGTTTTAATTATACTATATGTGTTATTCATTATATTTATCGCATGCCAATTAGAACTATTTGCTTATTATATCAAAGATGGATCCAGTTCGTGATTCTCAAACTTTAGTTTGCATCAGAATGACATGGAGGTCTTAATAAGACCTAGACTTTCACCTGCTTGCTCATCCCTCCCCTTGGTTTCTATGTTCCGGGTGTGAGGCTCAAAGATTTGTATTTCTCAGTTACCCAGTTGAGTCTGGTGCTGCTGCTTAGGAACCATACTTTGAGAACTATGGATCAAGGGTATGTTTGAAATTCAGTCTGTAATCTTGACCTGTCAGTTAAGCAATTAATGATAATGAGATAATAAATTTAAATTATCTTACATTAATACATGTATTCTTTCTTTCCTTGCATGCACAGAAACAAGACATTCTTAACCAAGTAAGACATTTTCTTTTCTATTCATATTTATCTTTCTTTACTCTGATGTGAGCTATGCATTTCTCTTCTATATCACTGAGCTGTACTTCTGTGCCAATAATATTTAAATAACATGCAAGATTACCTATAATACTTAGAAAGTTATTATTTACTGATGTTTGTTCAAATCAAAGTTTCAAATGGAGAAACTGATACATCAATCACGGGATCTAAAAGCATCCAGAGTATAGACTTTAATTTTATAGATGTTTGAATTTAATTTTCTAATTTTGTTGAATAAAATCAGACTCTGATAAATTAATTTATTTAATGAAAACTTTATTAATTTGTTAATGGGAGGTTTAAAAGTTGCACTTAAATATAATTGATAAGGATTTTTAAAATTTGATCACGAGTGCTGTTAGATTCTGTGAGGAAAATTAAAGTTTGCTCTTCTGGAAAAAAGAGTAACCGAGTTGTTACTCTGCCACTTTCTTCTAGGAAAATCCATTTTGTAAAGCAAGTTTTAGGTCTGTAGTTCAGTTGGTATAGAGAATTACAACATACATTTTTGAATTCTCTAAATGGATTTTTCTATCACACTAGGAATATATCTTACTAACATATTGTCTCAAATCATAATATTGTCTCCTTGGACTGTATTGGATCTGTATGTATTAGCAGGTTTTTATTCACAAGGCTTCCTATAATTTTAATGACACAACACCAAAACTGCATACCAAACATGTTACTGTACAATTGATTACATCAGATGATCTTGACTGATTTAGAGGTCTTATATATTACATTCTCCTAGAATAAGGCACGACTGAAATGGCGATTTGTTGACTATAATAACTTTTACTAGCCTCTTTCAGAGCATGGGCTTTCCTGATCTTATTCCTGAATTTGTGGAAACCTCCTAGCTCCCCCAGAGATGGGCTATTTAAGTTTTATGGTATTGGGAAGCAACTCCTCAGAGTAAATAGCTGCTTTTATGAAGCGGGCTATTAAAGGGCATTTGTTGAGCATCTTAGTCAACAAACACACTTTTCTGCACAACTTGAACCTCCACTAGAAGCTGAATGAAAATTGGTGTCAAAGTTAGTTATGTCTCTTTTTGGGGTCAGCCAAATGAGTTTCTTTTTTATTTTCCTCCTTGCTCAGCCTTTGTTCCATATACAATGACTCAGTAGGCAGGCAATTCCAGTTACAGAACAGAAAGAACATAAGAAGATGAGGAGATCCAAAGGAGAAGGGAGAAGGAGGGCGTGTGTGTCTGTTACTCTCTCTGTTTTCTTGGTCTACCAGTGTCCTGTGAGTGTAGGGTTTCCTCTTTACACTTTCTTTCAGTATGTGTTCCTTGGCTCAAAGCTAAATTATGTTTTCATAACTCCCTGGGCTTCCCTTATCTCTGTACTTGGTTTTCTGTACTATAGTTTTGTTCATCTATATAGCTTTTATGTTCAGACAAGTAAGTTGCTTCAATCCCTTAATAAGTAACCTGGGAATTCAGAACCTACATTTTATATTGCTGCCGCCTACCGTGATATTTTAAATGTCTTTAACAAGGATATTGACACTGATATAATTATTAGCAATAATATAAACACTCTTTTATTGTAAGCTGTAATTGTCCTTCCAGAACCAAAACAACCTTTCCCATTAAAGAAAGCATCTGGAAAGTATAAGAGAAAACATGGTCTTAGGAATCCAACTGAACTGACTACAAATTCCACATCTGCCACATATTAGCAGGTCTTGGACAAGTTACTTAGTCTTTCCTAGCCTCAGTTTGCTTACTTATAAAAAGAAGAGAGTGTCTGCCTTGTTGATTTGTTAAAAGGGTTAAAATCTATGAAAAATAATTACGGTATTTTTAGGACTATAAAATACAATGGACCATAAGATGCACCTAGGTTTTAGAGGAGAAAAGTAGGAAAAAAATTTTTGAAGCAAAAAAATGTGGTAAAATATTTAATAACCTGTGACCCTGCTCCACCACCACTCCCCACCCCCAGCGAGCCAGGTAAGCTACATTCAGACTATAAGACACACTCCCCTTTCCTCCCAAAAGGGAAGGAAGTACATCTTATAGTCCGAAAAATATGGTAACTTCGTATCTGACATATAGGTATTCCATTGATATTTAAAGGCAGTGTCTCTTGGTCACACTTTAGTGATCAACTTGATTTCGTACAAAAACTCTGGAGTATGTCTGAGAGGTGAAAGTGAGAATATCTAAGATACCCCCAAACAATTTTGCAACTGAGTTTCTCAGCATCTCAATTTTCTTGGCTATAAAGTAAATGTAACTCTAATGCCTTTTCCAGCTCTAATTTCCTTCTGCAGTGAGGTTTGGGTAGACTAGGTGACATGTGGTTTGCTACCCTGCCAAACGTGGCCGCTATCCAGAATGCTGTCCTGGTGGTAGAGTTATGGTGTCTGTTGTATTTGGTCCTTCTACCACAACCGCATAAATGCCAGCACAATCAGTTAGCAAGGAATGGAAGTAGTATTATCCAGTGTTTCTGTTTCTCTTCCCTATTGCTATCAAAACAATTTCAGTCATCTTCCTCTTCTTATCAAACCTACAACCAGATCACAGTTTTGAAAATACAACCAACAAATTGAATAATCAAATGCCTACTACAATTCTGTTATTAACCTGATATTGACTATGTACTAATTATTGTTGAAATATATAGTAGCATTCATTTCAATATTCAACTTTTGTAGCTTAGAATGAAATCATGTCCAACAATTTGAGAAGATATTTATATAAATACATGAGATTAATTATTTATATCACTAAACATATTAATTTGAATAGCTTCTCACAGGTTTTTAATTGTACAGATGAACAAATCTCAACATTTACAAAAATGCAGTATCTTTTATCTATGGAAACATATAGAATTTGACAATGGATCATCTGTTATATTTTATGCTAAATTGAAAGCTTGAGTTAATAATTTGACTGTTTCACCTGTCTAAGTGATATTGATGACAATTGATTTGTTTAGGGGAGAAACTTCTGTACTGAACATACAGAAATTTAAAAACAAGTATTTAAGATAATAGTAATTGCTTCCAGCTGTTTTCTCTATAAATGAGTTTTACAAACAAGCTTAAGTAATGTGGAAATAAATTAACTCCACAGTTTTAATAATAACAGCCAACCTTGAAATGTTGAATTTAAATACTCTATAGTGTTCTTTGATAACATGTATTAAATAATTTATATAGGAGTTAAAATCCAGGTTAGAGAAAAAATTGATGCTGGGATAGTCAGGTAATTTTTCTGCATTTTGAAAGGACAAGTAGAACAAACACTTTAGGTGTTTGCTATACCTAGAGTTTAGTTTTATATAAACTCTAGGTATAGCAAATAGGTTTAATTTTATTTTTATCTATTGTTTTTGTTTGTGTATTTTCATTATCAGGAATAGCTGTTTTGAGTAGGGCAGTAAAAAGATACTAGTGAAAAAGAAATCTAGAGATTTGGATAGAAAAATCTTAGAATGTCTAAGAGTTTTAATGTTTTTTAATAGATGAAGGAAATCAGAAATAATATTTTTAAGATCAACAGGTTAAATTTTCCATTTAGAAAAATGCATGCAAAAGCAACGCAGCAGAGCAGACAGTGGGGAAGTCACAGAGCAGACCAGGTATGAGTTAATAAAGGAGCGCAACAAGGGGAGGAGACCTGGGACAGCCGCGAGGTTGTAACGGAGGCTGCAGCAGATTTTGAACACATTTCTGATACATGTTTGAAAAGAATAAGTTCCACCTGGTCTATCAAAGGGTATGAAAAGAACAGTAGTCAACTCAGATTTTTGAAGACTGGGTAAATAAGTAGATGATAATACCCTCACTTTTACTTGTTTATTATTGTCTAAAGGTTAGTTTATATATCTGTGTATACATATGTTTTCATTTATTTTCCAGCCACGGTTGACCTATATTATACTTCAGATGTAAAACATACTGATTATATATATCCCTTATAAAGTGATCATCACTTTTATTTTTGTACTTTATTATGTATTTTTTTTCTGAAATGACAAGATTATTGATTGTCTAGTCAATGCATTGACAGTGATAAATCATAGAAAAAGTATGTCATACTATGTGAATATTGGAAAACCTGTCCATAAAATTATACTTTGGTCAACTGTATTATAGTAAACTTTGAAGTTAGAAATATTTATGTCCTAAGAGTTTTTTGACCTTGCCAATTTATTTAACTTTCTGATCCTCACTTATATAGCAGTGATAACAGCATCCATTTAATGGGTTATTGTGAGGATTAGGTAGAGTATACACATAACAAAGTTAGTGTAGTTGCTAGAACACAGGAACCTTTGGTATTTTCATTACATGCAACTGATATTTTAATCAAATGTCTAATGTCTCCTTTCCAGTTAAGGATAGTGGAATGTATCACAGGCTATGAAGATTTTTATGGAGAGATGGGAAGCTAAGGAGGAGTTTGGCATAAAACAACCACTGATGAAAGATAAACATATAGAAAGTGAGAAAAGCATTTGGAACAGAAAGAAGCGATTGGATTGCACCCCAAATGCATTTATTGCATCTGTAATGTCCACCTGACAATGTGTTTGGTCGTATGGGAGAAACAAAAATGGTCAGGTTGATCTTTGCTATCAGAGAGTGTCAAACTCATACATCTATTTCACAGATTGCTGACAGAATGCTTCAACTCAGGGAATTCTTATGCCTTCAAAATAAGTAGTAGGTTCCTTGACCCAGTTGTAAAATCTTAGTCCCTCACTCTTACATGTTGACTGAGTATTTCCTGGTCTTCTATGCCTTTTGAACTTGATGTTTTTCACAGTACTAACCCTGGGAGAAAAAGAACGGAGGTTGTGGGATATCATATATTTGCAATCCTTTCAAAATTTTGGTTATTATTAGTTTTTTTGTTTTTGTTTTAGTCTGCTTCAATATTAAATATGAAGCTATACACTATTACACTTTAAAATAATCTCATTTGA